ATCGAATCAATTAATATGTAACAAACGAAATTATTTGCGTAATGGCCGCGCTGTGTTCTTTGCAATTTAGTTGCTTCTTTTGTTTTTTTCTCCAAAGAAAGAGTCTTCTTCTCCTCTCGCTGATTAAAAAATACGCTCTGGTTCAAAACGGAGCGTATTAACTAATGAGGCATCAAAAACTACATTGGTAGGAAATGGATAATTGAAGTATTTAAAATCACTATTAACCTCATCCAGTTACATAAAAACTGAATTTCAATGCAGATGTTCCATATAATTTTAGAGACATTTGCAAAAATACCATTTTTTATGTCTATATTTGCAAAAATGCCACTAATTATGATTTTTTAGAGTTTAAATCTTAAAATTATAAACTCTAAAAAATCTTTTGACCTCTAAAACCCCTTAAACCTTCAAACTAAATCCTAATACAACATAGTTAATCCAAACATAAATGATATAATGAATAAATAATTTTTCAAAAGTGGTATTTTTGTAAAGATTGTAAAAATGTGGTATTTTTGTAAAGTGCCACTTGAAAAGTGGTATTTTTTAAAAATTTTCATAATTATTTTATATATTTTTGAGAAATTTTGATTAATTCGTTAAAAATATAAATAATTTTGAGTAATTTCAACTATTTATAGATAATATTTAAAAATAAATAATTAATTACCTAAATGGATCACCAACTTATAGGTAATAAATTGATCCAAACATGTTTTTTGCGAGTTTGTATTTTTAGAAAGTTTCGGTTTCATTTGGTTCGGTTAAAAACAATAAAATCGAACAGATTTTTTGATGTCTCAATCTAACCATGCCTTTTGAAATTGTCTTTCACCAAATAAACTTAAGAGCTCAAACTTTTATAAGAATAAAGACTATTAGTTTTTAGTAATTCCTAAATTTCTTTTTCGGTTGTTCTAGTTAAACCTTTCTAAATTCTTAATTTGGCCTTTTTGTTTATTCAAATGTCATATTTTAATTCATTTTATATCAAGTTAATATGCTATTTTTGCCACCATGATGAACTATATAGCTCCGAGCAAAGCAAGGACATTAATAGTTGTTTACTCTTTTGGATTCAAAGGAATGAAATTGAAGAATATCTATGTTTGTGTTGGTAGTGGAGCTATGGAGCCAGTAAGGGCGTGCGGTTGGATTGGAGATTGTTCAGCAGCAGCAACTATGGCCTCTGCTGTTTCCATCATAAGACCTCTAGTTTCTCCTTCAAAGACTATCTGCTGTCTAGCATTCCTTTCAACTGGATTCTCAACAGAGCAATATTGTATGGTTACCTCCCGTAGTTGGTCCATAACTTGTTCAGTTGAGAGTTCCTGAGCTGGAAAATCCACCTGGGCCAGATTTCTTTCTAAGGAAGGGCGTCCCTGTCTTTGGGAGTCAGTCAGGTTCATTGGGGTATGCTCTCCCTCCTTTTCCTTGGGTAGCCATTGCAGGCATGTGTTGAGACTTCCCTGTTGGTATTTCGAGGTAGTCTCCTCCGTCTTTGGTTGCCTCTGTGGGGAGAAGAGTCCCTTGGATTTGGGCTGGCTTGGTACCTTCCTCTGGAGGATGGCCTGACCCCATAAGGTCTTCCATATGTATCATTTCTATCCTGGTAAGCTCTGTGTAATTTCTCCTGTGAGACTGTGGTTTGTGTGGTGAGCTCTTGACTGGGTGAGTATGTCTTTTTGATTTGCAGGCGGTTCTGGAGACTT